GATGTTAAGTAAAGTGACTCAGTTTTAGTTTAGTGATTCTTTTTCAGCTTCTTTTTCATTACAGTTTATTACAAGATACTGAGTACAGTTCTACAGTACCTACTCTACCGTAGGTCCTTGTTTATTTTATATATAGTCATGTGTATGTTAACACCAAATTCCAACAAAGGGATCTAGTTAAGCAGATGTATGAAGGAAAGATAGAAATCTTTCTGGCAAAGCCCACAGCAAGAGAGGGAAAACTGGCAGAAGAGAGTCCAGGCAGAGGTAATGAACGCTGAGAATTTGCTAGAACTAAGGGAAAAGAGTAAACCATTGGCTCCAGAAATGAGGTTATGAGGGTGAGAAAGGAATGCAGACCTTATACTTAAAGTTTTTAACACAAAGCTTTACATAGAACAAGAAGAAACACACCACTTAATGAATAAATCAAAGAATGAAAATCAGTGTGCAGAGGATATGTGGTATGTTTCAATACTGATATTTTGGGATTTTTTTCCCCAAAGTTTCTGAATGTGTAGATGATATATGTATACACAGCTCTCATCTACTCTCAGTTTCATCAAGGGAAAACTGATTTTGAAGGACTGAGAAGCATCTCTGTGGGCCCACGCTGCACACAGTGATCTGTGCCTACTCAGACCTCGGTCTGTGAATCGGCCACTGCTGGACCCATCACTACAGTCACATCCGTGGGCTGAGGGATGTGCCCACCCTCGGCGACATTCTGGGCTGACAGAGTCCTGGGTGACGGTTTACCATCTTCTTCCTTTTCTCCATTTACTTACATTTTACGTTGGTATCCAGATCCAGGAGTGCCCTAGAATCGGGAGGAATTCTCAGGATCCACTTCTAAATGCAAAGCACAACAAATAAATAAACACGACAAATAAAGAAGGTGGGCTCGGGGCTGGTTTTGATCTGTTCTTCGGTACTGCAGGAGCTGATTTTGCTGGGCTCTCAGGGGATGCAGGATGGGGAGAACATTAAAGCTGGCTTTAAAAATTCTTCCTTAAAGGAGCCTCTGCAATGAGATGAAATTGCTTCAGAAGAGAAGGGCTCTCTTCCGAAAGCATGAAAAAGGTAAAAGGCGATGAAATCAAAGTAAGGAAGAGGGGAAAACATTAGAATAAAAGGCTCAAGTGTAAGGGAATGTCACTTGGGCTGAGGGAATAGACGGTGAGTGAAGTGGAGAAATACTGGAGACCACAGAAAACAGAAGGCCTTTGAAGAAGGGTCTGGCATCATGAAAAGAAGGAGGCTGTTTGCGTAACAAGAAGGATTTGCGTTCGATCTAAATTAGACGAGATGAAGGAGGAAAATAAAGAATTAGCTTCCACTCTGTTTCGTGTCTATGGACTGTAGCATTTTACCTCTAAAACTCTCTGTACATCGGCTGCGCAGAGAGGCTCAGTCTTGAACTTGGGTTGAAAAGACCTCATGTGAATAAGCAGCATTGGATTCAAATTCTTAAACTGCCTTCCTGAGAGACCTTAGGTGAATCACGGTGACTTTTTCCCGTTTCAAACTCGTCCCCTCCTGTGACAACAGGGACCTGTGGGACCTGCATGGAGGTGTGAATTTAAAACTGAGTTGGGGAAAGCGGGGGAACATCTGTAAACACTGTCAGTGGGAATTGGAATATGCTTCTGGCTTCAGTTCTACCAAGACCATGTGGCCCTGTGGAAATGTTGAAGGCGGTGACTAAGAGAATGCAAACTGTGCGTATACTATGGCTACAGCCAAGAGGAAATAATTGATATGGTACAGACAATGACTATTTTTTCTTTGTGTCATTTTAGCTTCATTTGTACAAACTTTTGAGTGTTAGAGAAAAAGATACATTGACTCACAGATGCTAGGATGCAGAAGTGAAGTCTTCCTCCTTCAGTCTGTCAAGTCTGACACACAGTCAGAAAATATTCAAGTGACAGATTTCTTGCACTCACTTTATGTCAGAGGGAACTTTGCCCTGACACAGGAAAGATGAGATTCTTTAAGGTGAAAATGGTGGCAAAGGCATGTATTACCATGATTTATCCCTCTTGTTTATAACACTTATATCTGTTAACAGACCCTCCCTGACCCCAACTTCTGTGCATAATCAAAGCCCAGATCCTATCCAGGGG